AGAAAACAACAAAAAAATATAATTAGATAATAAAAATAATAATAAATAAGCAGAAATAGTTTACAGATTGTGCAGTTTCAATTTAAAGAAAAAGTTTTGAACCAAATTTCGTATAATACTCGTTTAAAGAATATCTGCAGTTCTAATTGCACAACTAATTATAAGTGATATGATATACATGTGTACGAAAATTTAACTGTAGATAAGCAGCAATTTAAACAAAATAAATTTGAATTTTTCTATTTATATAAATATTAAACAAAACGTAAAATGTAAATTAATTAGAATTTTTAAAACTATTAATAAAATTGCGCATTTGTTCAAGCCTAAAAAATTTGTCATGCAACTAATTAAGATCGTTAAGTTAGTAATTTTTACACACACATCTGGGAATTACATTTCATGCTTCTAGATATCTCTCATTTAATTAATTAAAATGTTCTAACATGTGAACAGTTATTTTTTTGAAACTGTTACTATAAATTCTCTATTGCATTTGGCTTAGGAATAAGAGAACGACCAATTAATTTTGAATGAATCGTTTCTAACTACTTGAACATAACCCTATACGATATGTTTATCTCTGGTATCGATGTCAATTGCGATTAAATTTAACGTAAATAAGTATTTTCTGTATCGCTAATTTGGTTTCGTATTGTTAAACTTGAGAACATATAAACACATATTGTTATTACTCCACATTCTATATAGACACTTCAGGATTATTTCCATTATCCAGTTTCGGAGTATATAATAAATAAAAGTATAATAAATACTAAAATTGAAATTTATGTCCACACATCGGACAATATGAACGATTTTTAACAATACTACATATCTGATTTATCATTATTTATATGCATACTGTTTAGTATTTAACTATACCGAATTACATTCACGACGCATACAAAGTTCACTACAATTTATTGGAGTTTTTGTAAACTATCTTTTTGTTCCTTAAAGTCCAAATTATGAATTTAAATAAAATTTTGATATATAGAAACAGGATTCCTTAAAACAGAACATCAAATTATTTTGTTTATGGGAATGGGATTATTTTCTTCCATGATTATATAATCAATTATTACCTAATATAAAACAGTCATGTAAAAAAATAGTATTACTGAACGTCTTCACTATAGGCTGGAAATAACAAATAATTGTTTTGAATTGAATTTATAAAAATAATTATTTAATTTTTAGTTAATGTTTGCTAATTGAATATACGTGCTAGAAAAAATTATACAACATTTTACCCCTAAATAGACTTTACTGGATCGTAGCTCTTAAGATTGTAGATCTTAAAAAAAAGCTCACAATAATACATATCAAGTACAATATTGAAATATTTGCGAAAACTCTGACATACTCTATCATTCTGATATTTACTTGAGATGTCAGGCTGATAAACAATAACTGTTCTATCCATCTTTGGAGTTTGCTATAGAAACAATTTATTGTGTCTGTTCTCTTAACTCGTTTCATCAACGACTGAAGAAACCATTTGGTAGACTTACTATCGCAGTAAAATTTTTGCTAGGTTTCGCAAAGAAGGGTTAGAACGATAAGCAAGGAGAAGTAAAAAATTATTTTCAAAAGCGAAAAAAACCTTCGAAAATATAGAAAAAAGGAAAAGAAAAAAAGTACATACTTGTATATAATTAATTAATAACTGAATCTATTCATAAACGACTTTCAATAAATTCTATTTTATTTCAGTGTTTTAATAATTTATTTACTTCATTACTAACAGGTTGTCTCTACGGGTTAAAGTGCAGTAAAGAAATGAAATCATACAACATATTAATAAATATATATGTATTATAGGCGACAGGCCCTCATTTCTAATAATTTCTGATTTTCATATCAATGTAGTAGAATACAATTATTTCTTAATGATTCTTTAAAATGCCTTCTTAATTGCTGAAGTTAATTATTGCTTCAACTTACAACCCTTTTCAACTTCATTCGAACCCTTTTTTAAATTAATAAATGATGATATAGATGTCTTAAGACTATTAATGTCTTAAGACTCAGATTAAAAAAAAACAAAAAAAAATACATATAGATTATTTAAAATTTATTTAGAAATAAAAAATTGATCATGGATGTAGAGCAGCTATTTCGTTTATTGTATAGTCAATTACTGATTAGATAAAATCTTAAGCACCATAAGATCGCGTACACGTTATTTAGACTTCATTTTAGTAACTGAACAAGTCTATGTGTTATGTTCTACCTGTTATTTTTTTTTTTTTTTTTTTTTGAATAATATTCACTCTAATACTCACATTATGCCTAGTGGATGTAGCCAATGGATATATCTATATAGTTGCTCTTAAAATTGTGACCGAAGTAATATTTCATAACGAAAAGAGTAATACCTCCACCCCTACATTCAATAAATCATTGGCGAATGTATTCCCAATTTTAATGCACTAACTTTATTTCTTGCCATCTTGCTCCTCTTTTTATTACACCCCTATAACACTTTAATTCATAAATATATAAATTTCAATTCTTAGTATTATGATAAAATATATGAACCTACACAAAGATATGTGCCCTTAACACTATAAATAAAATGGCTGCCGACTTTCCGCACGTGATCGTGTTTCAATTCTCCACATATTAATTATATAGTTCTCATACAATTATATTGACGTAAAGCTTGTAAAGTATATTTGTTAAGTAGTTGTCTGAAACCATCCCATTATAAGCTTTCTTATTTCGTAAAAATAACAAAATAAATATAAACCTAAAGTCCTCCGTTTTCACGTTATAACCGCGAACTCTCAGAAAGTTTTAAGTTAAAACTTTCTTATACTTTTTACATAAATTTGTTAATATTGTTTAACTATGGATTAAAACTTTATATATTTGCACACAATTAGAAATTTTTCATATTATTTTTTATTATTAAATACTATTTTAGTATTATAATGCACTTGTAGTTTACAAATACACGATCAAATGCATTCTTACTTCTCCAGGATAAATCTTTTTCTCGATAACAGTCGTTTAAAGTTTGAGTCTATGATACATAAAAAATGTACAGACTTTTCCCAAACCTATTATATTTTTAAAAATAATAAATACATTATACTGCCTTAAGAGATAACCTCCTTGAATTTGTAAATTTACTGCAATTTACTAAGAAAAAAAATATACGGTAATTCCAATAAAGAAATGGCATTGTCACAAAAATCGGTGTAATCGAAAAAAAAGGTTGCCACACTTCCACTAAAAGGACAATATTTCAATTCATGATTCTATGTTTATATCCCAAAACAATGAGTGTATGCTGTTGTGTGTTCAGGCAGATGTGGAGAACCTAATTTAAGATTCTAAATTGAGTATGTTCGTAGTATTGTTAATGTAGTTTTAACAACTTACTTCTTTATGCTAGCCAGAGGACCAGACTTTTACGGGATAGTTTCGCTGTTGATCTTTGTTCTACTAATTCAAATTGTTTTCAATTTTAGTATGTTTATTCCTTTCTATAACGTATTTTATACATATTTATCAAGTGACTTATTTATAAGTTATGGTTCTCAAAGATAAGGGGGAAAAAATCGTAAAAACTCTGTTGATTTTATTTAAAGTGTGGTCTCGTCATATTTACTATTACTACATCTTTAATTTAAAACCGTTTTAAGATTTTTTTTTTGTTATGTAATACTATGTTCTTATATGTTACATATATTATATTTAATATTATATATAACTTTATGTAATATGCAGTTATTGTAAAGTTCTACAAATTCGGAAGTTTTTCATTTTAGTAGAATTCAATTCCATTGTCACTTCCGTTTTGTCATAAAGCATTTCTTAAAAGCATTTGTTCTGGTATTACCCAGAATGTTACACTTTCATTTTAAATGGACCAAAAAGGTATATATAATGTAGAATAGAATAATGATTGTTATTTTTGAAAAGTCTAAATCCCATACAAATATTGGAGACTTTTTTTATCGCTAATTGGATAACAATCAAACAACATTGTTACCGGTACAATATTACAAGTAACTGTCAAACGAAAAAGCTTATTCCTCTATTTGCCTACAAATTAGCACCTATCCTCAACAGTACATAATAGAGCAGAGCTGTTTAACATCTGTAATCAGGCGCTGTTTAATAAAAAAAAAAACATTTCGATTTATTGTGTTAAATAGGTCAAATGTTATCTGTTAGGTTGGAAAGTTAGACTATTCTGCCAAACTTGAAAATTTTATTCCTATTTGAATTACATTTCTTTCCAACAATTTTAGACATTATTCCCAAATGTATTAATGCGCATTCCTTAGTTAGAGGCTGTGGTACAGAAAACAATAATAATTGTTTTCAGTGTTATTCATAATTAAAAATTTTATTAATAGATTTATTTATTAAAAGCGATGAATGCATGGTTATGATATTTTCTACTAGAAACAATAGGAACGAGTCATAGCTTATTTTTTGTATATTTTTGAATAAACAAACAACTAAATGTTTGATTATTTTAACTTCCGAAACATTTCAATACAGCCCAATAAAGTACTGTACACATCCACTTCTAATTTTAGTGAACAAAATATAAAAAATATATATTTTTGTTTATTACTAAATTATGTTATATTTAACAGAAATTGAAAATTTTATATAATATAACAATTTTAACATATATACACATATTTCTTTACATTGTTTATTTTTAAGCTTATTATATATAATAGACTATACAAAAATTAAACAAAACGTTATATATTTATATATATTACTTTAATATTAGTATTATTATTAAATTATTTAGTGAGCACGAACAAAATACATATAATAATATTTTAAATTGATATATTTTAATAATCAAGGTATAATTATGATTTCTATATAATGCCTAACACTACATAAAAATTTGTTTTTTATTATTCTATTTTCATGTCACAAATAATTACTGATCATGTTCAACGATACTACAATACAACAATTTGATAATCAATAATCAAATTCCCTCAAAATAGTTTCAGTCCCAACGATAGTAAGTTTGTGAGCTGCAGCGATGACGGAACACTGAGAATTTGGGATTTCTTACGTTGCCAAGAGGAACGTATTTTAAGAGGTTCGTATATACAAGTTTTTTTCTCCAATGTGTTTCAATACAAAAACCAATAAACCACACATGTGATATTTAAAAATTCATTGTAATCTATTGTATTATAACTGATATAATAATGTTCTTACCTAGTGATGCATACACCATATCTAACATAAAAATAGGAGAAATATTAGGTATGTTCCACAAGCCACTCATAGTAACTTTGAGTAGCACTGTGTATACACAAGTGCACAAGTGCGTTACACCAGCAAATTTTCAAGTAAATGTGAGTAACATCCCTGTCAAAATTTGAAAATGCTACATAGACTTTACTCGTACATATTAGGTCTGTTCCACGAGCTACTCATAGTAAAACATGAGTAAAACAGAAGTAAAATTTACATAAAAATACTTGAAAATTTGCTGGTGGAACGCGTTTGTGTATACACAATGTTTACTCAAAGTTACTGTGAGTAGCTCGTGGAACAGACCTATTATTTCAAGTGTTCTCACCATACTTTACACAAAGCTATTTCATGAAAATCTGCGTAAAGAGCGTAATTTGGTACTTTATTTGTGTTACGCTCTCAGTTTGTACCAAAGAAGACAAAGAAAAGAAACTGAGAGGAAATTTTGAATCATTGTGCCTCTTTGTGTAATATCACAAAAATAACTCTAAACGGATTTTTGACGTCAAAAAATCAAAACAAACAACGAAATTTCTCGGAAAGTGCTCTTATTTTAGTAAATATCGTGAAGGGACCGCGTGGAGAAAATCATCATGCACCATTGTGTAGCATTAGGCTTTTTGTTTTTGTACTGCGTGATATTTTCACCTCATTACTCAAAATTTTGAATATTATTTGAATTATCCAGAAGATTTTATACACAATTTAACGAGCAACTCTCAGTTTCTTTTCTTTATCTTCTTTGGTTTGTACTTTACTTGTGCTTTACTTGAGTTTTACTACGAGTAGCTCGTGGAACAGACCTATTGTATTATATATAGCAATTATTTTTGGTATTTCTTTATATGCAAGCTGTTTGATGTTCGCATTGAACGTGAGTTGTTTGTATTTTTATGTTATTTTGCGTTCTGCTTATTGTCACAACTAATCACTTTATGGTTACTTTAAGTTGTAAGTTTGTTATTTTAACCAAATTGTTGCTAAACCAAATTTGAATTGACTGTAATGTAAGTTTCTCTAGTACTCTTAAATAATAAAATGCTTAAAAACACAATAATTATATAAATTTTGTTGTAAAGTCAATTATAGAAAGAAAAAACTGTATTCTAAATAGAGATATCAGTATATATTTGCAGTATTTTGCTCTCTCATCTAACAAATGATGTTATATTACTTATTATATTATTACTATAAACTAATGGGTTAATTTTTAAGATTACTGATAGGTACATATTTGGCAATAGTCGAAACAACTGTGTGGTCAATTTAAAAATTCAAAAAATATATAAATTAAAGTAATAGATAATTTCCAAATAATTTTAGTAAAATAAAACATTTTTATCTTGTTAAAAAGTCATATGGCATTAATAATGAATAAATATAGTTCAATTGATTTCGGTGACGTTAGTCCCTGATAATGCAATTTTCTTAATAAACTGTCAAGTTGACAAATACACTTAACAAATAATAAAATGCTTTTTAAAAGCAAATATTTTACAAATATTGTGGAAAATAGTTCGTTAAAATGGAAGAAGATATGTTATGTTACTATTATTGTTAGATGCATAATAACATTCTATATAGCATAATTACTGAGTTTATAGTTATTTATTAAAGTATATAGAATACTCTAAAAAGTATAACAATAGTTATAAAATAAATTTTATAAAAATAGTTATAATCAAATTTTAAATGGTATTATTAGTGTTTTTATAATAATTTATTAAAGTACTGTAAAAATATAACAATAGTTTGGAATTATCTATATGGATAATAAAATTCGAAATAGCAAATAAATAAATAAAATAAAAGTAATAAAGCATGATATGAATATAATAACTAGTCCTCACACTACTTTTGATTTTTGTATACAAAACACTTTTCACCATAGTGTGGTGAAAAGGCATGCCACTTGAGCTATGAAATTTAACAACATTTACCTAGGGCCATGTTATGCAGAGTGTCTCGGGCACGGCAAATTATGCTCTTTCGGGCTATGCCGAAAATGCATGTTATGCAGAGTGTCACATCAGTATTGCCAATTTTGTATTTTTACTACTTCTTGGTTGTGCCTAAATTTAAAAGGAAATTTAGATAGGCTCACTTTCAATTTACCACCAAAAATAACTAGCAAGAAAAACCTCCTAGAGGATGTAATACTGTTAATTTATTATTATATTATCTTATAACAATTGTGTACAGTACTTACGCCTTTCATTGAAATCGGAAATTGTAATAATTATATTATTAGCGATTTATAAAAAAAATGCTGTGTTGCTTACTGCCATCTTTTCTCCAAAACGTACTAGAATTGTAGTAGTTTGCTCCTAAAAGGCGCAAATTTTGAAATTTATTACTAAACAACACTGTTTTGCCTTAGTGCCGGGGCACAAATACGCCGGCTCTCATGCCGGAGTTTGAACGGCCATATTATATTTTTTCTCATTCTCAAATTTAAAATTTGCATTGTAAACAACAACAATTGTGCTCATGCCGTGCCCGAGACACTCTGCATAACATGGCCCCTAGAATAATAAAAAGCTTTTTGTTTGATATTTATTTATTTAAATATTTGTGAGTTAACATTAAAATTAATTTTAAAGTTAACTAAGAATAAGGAACTGAACTGTTAGGTCCTTCTCTCCGTTTTTGCTTGATAAAAATCTTGATTAATTGTCAATACTGGACAAATTTGTCAAGTTCACAGAATAGGGGGGATAGTATATTACTATAGTAAAAACCTATTAATAAAAATTCTTTTATTAAAAAAAAATATTTAGAAATTAAAGAAATTAAATTCTTATGATGTGTGCTTGAGACCCTTCTTCATTTTGGGTCATAACAATTTGGGTCCTTCTGTTATATGAAAAATTTCTGTTTCTCTGGCAGTATATATAATTTATTCTATTTAAATAAAATTAAAGTGTACAGATAAACTTTATTGTGTATATTTATATGTAAAAAATAAATTCATATTTTTAAATTATTATTTATTGTATATTACTACAAAATTATATCTATATATGCATTTTTTAACATAACTATGTAATAAATAATTAACTATTGCTAGGAAAGGAAAAGAAAAAGATCATTATTTATATTGTCCCTTTAGAATTTATATATAAATATAATCTAAAAAAAAAATTATTTATGAACTATGAAGTACTTAGCTAAAATTCCTTCATTTCTCTAAATATATCGTATATATCACAGTTTATTATTTGTATCATTCGCAGGCCATGGTGCTGACGTTAAATGTGTTCACTGGCATCCACAAAAAGGTCTTATTGTTTCAGGAAGTAAAGATAATCAGCAGCCAATTAAGTTATGGGACCCAAAGAGTGGTAGCGCCCTAGCAACATTGTAAGTATTAAACTAAATAATAAAAAACTGTTTTGTCAAAAGTTTAAAGAATTCCGTATAATTTTGCAATCAAAATTCAAGAATGTGATTTTATTTAAGGTTAATAATATCTAAGTATAAGTACACTGGCGAACAGTTATTTCTTTAATTCAAAAGTTTAAAAAAGAATTAAGTACTTTATAATTCACGTTTTCATTTATCAGACACGCACATAAATCAACTGTAATGGACTTGAAATGGAATGATAATGGCAATTGGCTGGTTACCGCTTCGCGTGATCATTTGCTCAAACTATTTGATTTGCGGAATTTACGAGAAGAAGTACAGATCTTTAGAGGTCATAAAAGAGAAGCCAGCTCTGTTTCTTGGCATCCTACGCATGAGGGACTGTTTTGTTCTGGTGGCTCTGATGGTTCAATACTGTTTTGGAATGTGGGGTAAGTTGTACATTACAACATTATGTATAACGAGTTTCATACATAAACTCTACTACTGATGATATTAATAGATTAAAATCTTCAATTAATATTTAAAATTTGCTTATTTCAAGCTGGGTCATAATCATTTCTTTTCTTTTTTAGTACCGATAAGGAAATTGGTAGTATAGAAACTGCACATGACAGTATTGTGTGGACCTTGGCTTGGCATCCCTTAGGTCATATATTATGTTCAGGCTCTAATGATCACACAATTAAATTTTGGACACGTAATCGTCCTGGTGATCTGATGAGAGATAAATACAATTTAAATACTCTACCTGCTAGCTTAGCAGCATTGGATGATTGTGAATATGGTATAAATGAAGACAATTTTATTTTATTTTATTTTGGTTTTTCTATAAATTATATATACCTCGTAAACTATAGATGATGCTGTCATACCTGGTATGGGTCCTGAGGATAAAGTTGAATTTACTGAGAGCCTTACTGCCGATAAAGGTTTCATTCCCGGTCTTGATTTAGATCCATCAAAAATATCCGACAAAGATAAAGAAAAGAAAGTTCCCTACAGTAAACCAATACCGCATAATTTTCAAGCACAATGGGCCGGCACTCGACGTCAGGATGAAACTGGCAACATACATGATGAATTGGCTGCACGTGAAATAAAAGATACAAGCGGCTTATCACCAGAACAAGTTAGTGAAAATGTCATCGAAGGTATGTTAGCAAGTGGTGTACTTACTTCCATCGATCCACAAGCAATTGTTGGCATATTAGTCTACAATCGATTTATACGCGTTCATCCAGATTCAAGACTTATGATTGCAGTACGTCAAGGTCCTGAGTATCTTAATAAATATCTTGATGCCGGTAAAGTGGATGAGTTAAGAGATGTAATATCCCCACCTGACCGATCACGTTCAAATTCACCTACCTTAGAAGGACGCGAAAGTTCACCACCAATAAAAAAATCACGTTTTGATAGTACTCGTCAGCATAATCCACAAGTTGTATATGCACGTGAACTATTAAGTCTTAAGAAACCATTTATGCCTTGTCTACTGTCATTTAAATCACAACTAATTAAAACAGAAAATATCGAAGAATTTGAAAATCCAACAAATTCGTTCCCAAAACATCCACCATTTCCGCAACATAATCAACCGTTTCCACAGCAACCATTTCAACAACCACAACAGGTTACACCAAATAGACCTAGTCCATGGGCGGCAGGTTTTGCGCCATCACCAGGTCCATGGGGACCTGGAAACGTTTCAAATCAAAATGGTTTTAATAACAACAATAATATGGGCATGGGACAGAATTCAAATACTTTTAATAGTAATATGGGTTCAAATATGAACTCAAGTGGACCAAATCAAAATGGCTATAACAATAACAACAGTAATATGAGCCCCTTTAATGGTCAACCTTTTGGTGGTAATGGTAATGATTACGGTGGCAACTTTGGTGATAACGATAACAATTATGGTGATCGTGATTTTCACAAAAATGGCTCCATGGCTAGTCCAGGAAACAACAATATGCATAATAAGAATAATATGAATAATAATAATATGCGTCGTAGTAATATTCGTAGAGGTGTGGGGGGCGGTGGTAGTCGAAATCGTGGGCGCAATACCAATAGACGATTTTAAAAAGAAGGTATTAACTTTCATCATAATTTTGAGTTTTTTATAATGTAATAATGGAGACTTTTAATCATCTGAGCTGATTTTCGCTCGAGCTTAGTTGTTCTAATACTTCAATAATGTAATTTTAAATAAATGTAGTTATTTAACAATTATTATTTAAGAAATCATGAAAAAGCGATTTTAAATATATTTTATTGCTCTAAATTGATATCATATTGTCCTATGGGTCATTTGTACAAAAAAAAAAACAATACATGTAACTACTATATAAGCAAATAATTTTTGTTGCTAGTTTTTTTAAACCGATTTTGTTTTAACACAATATAATATAACAATGATTAGCAATAAAGATCAGAATAATTAAGATATACTCTGTAAAATATGAAAATCATATATGTTCTAATAGGTTATATATAATCAGGAAAAGTCATTTATACATATATATATGTATGTATATTTAAGTATAAAATTAAATATTTTTGCTCATTTTATTATGTTTAAATCAAAATTATTAATTAGCACGACGATTTCATGCATTAAATAATTTTTAAATATAAACGTACTATATTAAATATAATACTTTCTGAATTAAACCCTTACAAACCATTTTCGATTAGTACATTGTTTTGATAAGAATTGACTTTAGTTAAGTAAAATAACCGAGTATATAACCAAAATGTAAAGTTAGTGTATAAGTTATAAATTAATTTGGTCGTATTTTTTTTATTAAAAAAGAAAACATGCATACCACAAATATAATGTTTAGTTTTATTTTATATAGAATAGAGGACAAAAATAATTCACTTGTGAATAAAAAAGAATTTTATTTAAAATTACACACTACATTATCTATCTAAATCTGCATGGGTGGCACATCTATTAAAAGAGCAAAAAACAATAACAAACAAAAACATGTCTGCAGATTAAAATATGGATGACCAAAACGATATTCGCTAATAACTCTGCAAATGGAGCGATATGGGTGTGGGTAGGTGCTAATTAAAATGAACCTAAGTCGTGGTGAAGGAAATTGAGGTGGACTCCTAGAACAATAAGGTTCGATATGAGGAGTAAAATTGCAGTATCTCTAACACGTATCTATACCCTGACCGCACTGGTCTAGTGGTCTATTAAAAACTTTGCTGCTATGCAAATGGGGTATCAAAGTAAATACAACTGTGGTTTTAAACACTTTTAATCCTTGTTTATACTCGATTTTACTAATATAAGTTTCACCGCAATAGGTGTCGATATATTGCGATACAAAGAAAATGATTAACTGATGGAGCATGGAGATGGGAATGCATATTATTGCTCTACTTGCCTACGCATAATGACAATAAATTTTATATATGTACATATTCATAAGTGTATCAAAACAGGATATTGTGTGAAGTCGAATATTAAATGACATTACAAAAATAAATATGCAATAATTGTATGGTCTTCGCTGTTTTAGAGTTGTTCTCTGTCGTTGGTTCGTTTCCTTATGGCATAACTTTATATGTGATTTTTTAACATATCAAATAGTGGACTCGGCGTGCTCATCGCTGATGTAAATGAAACTCCTAAAAACTTAGAAAAGTACTTAACAAAAATGATAACATCACTTTTCCTACGACTTGTTCCACAAAACGTATCTAATCGATCGCATGTAAACACTATTATTGCAGTGTGATTTATGCCATTTTTCCATGGTTGATATCAATTTACTATGCATTGTAGACGTAATGAATTAAAGATAATACCCTTGTGAAACTTCGTTAGATTTTGGAGTTGTAAAAGAAACTGTTCCATTAGAGAGACATTAATGATCTATAAAAAAAACAAACAAACTTAGTAATTTTTCAAAGTATCTTAAAGTACAGCTAAAACCATGTAAAGAACTTCTTGTTGCCAGTAAATAATTGGTATGTTTTACTAATAAAAATTATAGTTATTTGTTGTTGTGACGCTACTTATAGCGTCATACTTATGGTATCTAAATTTATCATAATTTTTGACAGATGATTTAGCTTAAACAATAGACTATAAACATCAATATTACGCTTCTTACATTATAATTGGTTTATTGAAACTAATCATATTCTCTTCATTTTTTATAATTTTTTTAAGTTATTAACTTAATTATTAGACGCCATATTTACATATATGAAAACAGAAAACATCTACGAACACATTCATTTCAATTACGTATCATTTCTGTCTGAAGAGTATCGCTTATTTCTACTGTTTGAGATTGTACCATTTTCCAGTTCACATCTTTTCTCCTCATCTGAAGTTTCACCATCTTTTAATGTACTAACTTTATGTTGAGTTTTTAGGCTTTCGACCACATTGCGTTTATGTTTTCTAAAATTTTCTTTAATTTCTCTTTCTTCTTCACGCATACGATCTTTCATATCCTTTTCGATGTTTCGTTTTATAACTTCAGCCGATTGTACCAATTTATCTGTTTCAATTACGACACGCCTGGAAGAGCTACGATACTTTAAGGATCGTTCATGTGAGCGAGAACGGGATCTTGAATGACTAGAGTAATCAGTACTCCGTGAACGACGAGTTGATACTAATTTTTTGTTTGTACGACGTGTGCTTCGTGATCTAGATGCTGAACGTCGCGAACTACGACTTCTCGAACGTGAATGATGTGATCTACTACGTGATCGCGAACGCGAACTTCTACTATATGATCTCGAACGAGAACGTCGACCACCACGTGATCTGGAACGATCATGACGTGAACTGCGCGATCTTGAACGCGAGCGCCCACTGCGCGACCTCGATCTATTTCTATAAAAGTAATTTCATTTTGATTTATATTAAAAAAATAAACTGAAACTATGCTGCATTTACCTCGAAGACTTATGATAATAATCATTTTCATCGTATTTATCATCTTCATAATTATTACGTTTATAATGATAGTAGGGATCATAATTACCACCTCTACCTCGTCGACCTCTACCACGACCTCGTATACGTGGCGCAAAACCACGATAATTCATGGATACACCAAACGAAGGTGGTCGGTAGAGCGTTGGTAGACCGGAAAACACTGGTGGCACATATGGAAACATTGACATTGATTTCATCCATTCATTAGCCATTTCTGGTGGATATGCTGGTGATCCATTACTACTAGCAGCGGCTAAAGCAGCAACAGCTTTAAACGGATTCATGTGGGTTACATTGGCAGCTGTCATGTCATTTGTGACGGGTTCTGTTTTAACAACATTATTTTCATTGCCTGCTGTGTCATCTTCATCGTCTGACGATACTGATTTCTTAGTTCTCTTCATTTTTAACAAACCAGATAGAGGGGTTTTACTTTTGATATCTTCGACTTTTTTTCGTTGGTCATTTAAGAGTTTTTCAGTTGCAATTTTATATTTTTCAATTAAACGCTCACGCGAATCATTTTCCTCATTAGGAAAATGATTTACTTGAGTTGTTTTACGTTTTAGCGTGTTTTTAAGCTAAAAGAGTAAGATAGGTTTTTTTTAATTTTAATATATATCTAATTTCGATAACTTATTTGCATGAAATTACCTTAATGCGGTCAAATAATTGCTCTAATATTCGGATACTCTCTAATTTTCGTTGAGCTATCAGCAATTTACGCTCCTCAATGCGTATCTTTTGTGAAATTTCCACTTGTCCTCGTTCATGTATCTTTTTTAAATGCTTTTCTTTTCGTTTTTCCTCTCGTTCACGTTGTTTTTCTAAAGCAGCAAGCTTTAGCTCCTCTTCTTTTTGCCTGTAATTTTATTTATGCACAACTCTTGTTCTGTGTTTTTTTTTTCATATTAATTTTTTTTTATATATATTTTTTAAACAATCTTCTAAAGGAAAATATTAAACATTTTAAAATATAGTTCAATAGCTTTGTAATTTTTTTTCAAATTCGTATTTAAAACTAAAATGTTAAATAACATTTTAATTTCAAAAGCCATAAGCCATAAAACTTAACCGGTTATATTATTAGATATTATCGCAAATAAGTTTTTAAGGATAATATAAACATATAACATTTAATATTGAATTTAAATAGATAGAATTTATAACCGTTATAAAATTTTGAAATTGACGAAATTCATGGAATACTATCATGGAATTATAGTAAACAACCCGTGGCAATATTAATTTCATTTAATTACCTTTGTACATAGTTTTTCCTCTGAACTGTGAACTTGTTAAAAAATAATAATTAAAAACTAACCTCTGACGTTCTAAATTTTCTTGTTCCAATTTTTTTAGGCGTTCTTTTTCTTCTTCTTCAGCCTGTGCTTTACTAATAAGGCGTTTTCGAACACGTTCCCGACGTTGTATTTGCGCATCACTCAGATGTTTTGTTTTGTCAAAATTAACTACTATATTAACAGATTGATTCTTATCAATAAATTTTCGTACTAGTTTCATGCCACGAAATTCATCCATAGCACGCACGAAACCAACATATTCTTCAAATTGTATATAACTAAAAGACGATCAATTTATATATTTATTATTTTACATAATTATAAACTTACGCTTCAAACAACACATCCTGCTCGAAAGTAAAAGTTTTCATGCCACTTATGTCAGTGTTCATTTTGTTTCGATATGGATCACATATAGGTATGTCAAAACTGCGTACGGTTCCAAATTTTTCAAATATGCGTTTAAATATACTCTCACTCGGTTTGACATTTTCATCATTTTCATGATGTCGCGGGCAAAACCAGCGTATTGGCAAATGTGTTAAATGTATAGTATCCGGTCGTTCGCCTGGTTTCATTTCATCCATATGCTTTGCATCGCGAAAAAATGAGTCCCAATCGTATCTTGTTGGGAACTCATCTTTTGGTTCACTAGCACGCACTCGAAATGATTCATTAAAACCAGATATTTTAATTGAAATACCATCTAAACGTGACAACGCGCTACGTAGATATTTTCGATCATCTAACTCTGCTTCAAAGCGAATAAAATCAATAGTACTCTTTGTTACCTACATAAAAATTAAAAATTAATTATAAATATACTGTTTTATTATATCTGATATGAATTACTTACCTTGAGTACTAAAAATTTATCAGGTTTCAACGCATTGCTTAATTTTTCCATTATTTCTAAGTTGGAAATTGACTTGCCCGTTTTATTGCTGGGCAATGCCACTGATATGTGCATTTTGGCAAGTGGCTTGAGATAAAGACTATGCGGCAAAAACAATGGCACACAGTCGGAGACATTTTGTATAGTCTGAATATTTATCATTATTATAATTATTATTTTATATTTATATATATCATATATAATACATATATATATATGTATATAATTTTGCAGATGGATAGTATATCAAAACCATATGGTGAAGATAATAAAAATTAAATAAAAACTCGCAAGGATAGTTAGTAAACAAATCAAAAATTATAAAATCTAATAAATTTAAATATTTGCGAAAATGTTACACAAAATACAAACAAGCTAAGAAATGCATAAATGAATATCAAAAAGTTGAATTGTATGAAAACTATGACATTTTATGAGTAAAAAGGTATGTTTAAGTCTAAATGAAAAATCTAATAATTATCAACACAAAATACGACTTTAAATTCTTTTAATAGCTTTATATAGCGCTTATTAAACTACGCGTTTTTCACGAGATCTATAAACTTTATTGAGTATTCGTCAAAAATTCTATATGACATATCACTTAGAATTCAGAATTATTAATTTGTGGTTAGTACTTAGCACAAAGTTGTATATTCGAATGTACTAAGTATTCACAATAGTAAAAAATTTTTTTATATCACAATAATATTCAAATACATTCAAATTCAAAAAAAATAAAATTAAAAAACAAATTTGAAGTTGCTGAACTTTATTATTTTAATTTGATTGTTTACTTTATCGTAAATTTATAAATTAGATTTGTTTACATTTTGCAGTTCAATTATTTGAAAATATTTATAAATAATCACATTAGTAATTGAGGTGATATACACATATTTAGGTTTTAATGAATCAAATAATTTAATTAGTGTAATGAGTTGTGAAAGTAAATCTTAAACCAGAACTACTTTTAATACTTTAACAGGGAAACCATCAAGAAGATTATGGATGAATGTAATAGTGTCCACACTGTCTCATTTAGCCACTTGCTCATTTATATTAATAACTGAACGTTCACGTTATAACGAGCTCATTTATGTAGTTGATAGAACTTAAATAAACTTCACTTAATAATACATCACACAAATAATTAAATATATAATTGATATATTAAATCATTTATATACATTTTATATATCAATTAATAAAAACAAAAATTTTATTTAATACTTACTTCTTAACTGCCTTTGTTTTCAAGTCACCTATTGTTTGTTTATATTTTACATATAAAACATATGGCAAATATTTCAAGGTTTGGTAATGTTCCTTGTGGGAAATTTATTTTTAAGGGTTGCAATCGACATTTTTCTCCTTAAATGAACTAATTTATTAGTAATGTGATCATTTATATGAAAGATATATTCCACGTTTTGGAAACTTGAGGCCTTCAAAAATAGTCGAAATTTTTTTAAAATGAAATTTTAAAATGAATCGGCACTACATTGACATTTGTGCAATTAAATCGGGGACCTCGACTGAAGTACAAGTAGCTTCAGAGAGAATATATCACTTAAGAAGTTATATATTCAAAGCACTGCATTCTTCATGTGTGTCTAATACAATTTGTAGGTTGTTTTGAATTTTGAAAGCAAGCATTTGCTTGATTATAAAGATGTTGCGCTTGAAAGTGTGGATAGTTATAGCTCTACAAAATTTAAGCGCTGACTTTCTCCATGAACAAAAAATTAAGGCATACATGAGCTGCAAAAACAAAATTCGCAAAAATAAACCCACTTTCCTGAAAATACGTAACGACTTTCACTACAATGATGCCAAATCTTAAAACTGATCAATTGTGAATGATTTTTGGAACAAAATGGAAAACTCCAGTTAGCTGTTTATTTACAACTGTTGCGATCTGTCTTAATGAGTAAATTTAAATATTTTAAAAAAGTAATTTTTTAATAAAATTTGTAAAAATGACTTATAGGTTAATAATTGTGAAGAAGGAATTTTTAATTTCTGTAGTCATTAAAAAATACAATACATGAAAAAATTCAAATCAATCATTAAAATAAAAGTAAAAAGTTAAAATGAAATTGCGCGAAAACTACTGCTCATTTTGCATTAACTAGTGATGTAAGGTTAGGTTAGGTTATACCGGCGATCCATAGTGGATCCATTTATTCCTAATGGCCCATTGTGTTACCGTATATATGGGAGAAACTGTGGGTTTAAAACCACCTAGTGATGTTAGAGCCTTGAAAATTATTTAAACGAATTTATTCACGATTTTGTATTCCCCAATCGCGTCACTAAATTTACTGCATACTATGATGTTGGTGATGTCTAATATTTTCTCATTTTGGTTAAACCTTTCCTGTTCATATGAATTTAACATAAAAACTTTAATTGAACTTTACTTGTATGCTGTAAATTGGAATTTTGTTAATTTGCTCTGAAACACTACGTTTACGCGAGCCTTAAAAGTTGTTTTAAGGCTCTTAAAATCGATTTTAAGATCGCGTAAACACCCTAAATTGAATTTTGCTTAAAAGCACTTTTAGCTTACTAAATGTAGTTTAACATCACTTTTAGTAAGAAATGTCACTTTTAATCTTTGCGTAAACACCTTAAAAGCAGTTTAAGGTTTGAATTGTCAGCTGTTAACAGTAAATAGGTACAAATAATTTGAATTTTATTACAAATAACACTAACCAAATAACTAAAAATATGGAGAAAAAGGAAATGAAAAGAAAAAATTGGATGAAAGAGGAGGAAGAATGTTTAATTAAAATATTTGCAGAAAAACAAATAATTAAATTGTTAGACGGCAAAAAATATAGAAAAAGCCTAATTGCATCCCAGAATCTAAATTAATTAAACTTGTTTCTCTATTTGAAATTCTTAACTTTACCGTAATGATAACTATATATTTAAAACATTTTAGTTTAGTTTAAATTAAGTTTATTATTTTCAATTATTTAAATTTGTCATTAAGCACAAATTGTTATAAATATATTATATTATATATATTATATTGTTAGTTATAAAAAAAATTATAAATTAATTAATTTAAAATTGGCTTTTTCTACATTATTTTTTTAATTGCTTCTATGTAGAAGTGGAAATTTTCTCGCCAAGTACGCGCATATATGATCTCGCATAAGTTGTCCGGACGACAAATTTTGTCGATTGTATGTTCAGGTTGGGAATATTCTACCCTTCAACGAAAGTATTTTCTTCTGGTGCCATTTTATCCTTAAGTAAATCTACAAGCCTGAAAAATATTTGTCGATTCACTCTAAAATCAACAATTCATTGTTCATCGTCATAGAACTACAGAACTTCAACATCCCACCATTCCGAACTTCTCTTCCTTTTGCTAAAAGTTCTTATTCGTGGTGGAAGCTAAAAACAAAAATGCATTCTAAATATTTTATGAAAAACTTTATAAAAACATTTACATTCATTAAAGCCTCATTAGCGGAACTTATTGCCATTTTATTAAAGAGCTGCAATCGGATTTCTCGCAATTTTGTAAATTTTTTACGAGATGTTTTAAAAATCTGCATTGTTGCTTCATTATTATTTTCTACAATTTTGGTTATATTTCTTTTTTGTAATAAAAGTAAAACAATTTGTAGTTTTACTCTATTCATTTTAAAAATGTTTAAAATCAACATTTCCGTTTACTGTTAAACATCTGATTGATTGACAGCTACCTTAAAAGTGCTTTTAATTTTTGTGCGTAAACGCTCTAAGAACAAATTTTAAAATCAGTTTTAAAAGTGATTTTAAGACTCGCGTAAACGTAGTGAAAGTTCATTAAGAAATTTACCTGCCAATTAATATTGGCAGTGTGCGATTTCGCGTACATTGATGATAAATTGAGGGAATTAGTAAACTATGCCGATATGGCAGCGACATAAATTAAATAAATAAATTAGATAAAAATTAGGTAAATTAGGTGTTACCATTATGAAAATTTTATAAGATGTTTAATAAATAAATTTGAACACTTTTGACCAAAAATAATAAATAAGTGCAATAAATAAATATTTACATAAGTGCAGTGCAAAAAATCTCTTGGAAAATTCTATTGACTGTACCTCAATTTACTACAGTCGCACATGGCCATTATAACGAAATCTAAAACCAGCTGTAGAATAATTAAATTAATTAATTAAAGTTATTTTTAATTGTTTAATTTCAATACTATTTTTTTGTTAAGGCGTTATTTATTGCATAATTTTATATTATTCTTTCTTGTATATAGAAACTAATCCAGAAACGTAATACAGAAAATTCATTTTAACGATTCATTTTTGAACAATGTTTTAAATTTTAGTATCAGAGACGTGCTATTAAAACGTGAAGATAGAAACGTGAAATCCCATCCTTGTGCTCAAAAAAAGCAAGATGGGTGGTGGAAAATGCGGTCGGTCATTTGAAATCCAGATTAATACGGGTAGAGTACAGATAACACCAACATAGTATTAATAATTATATACTATTCTATGCCGCCTAAATTCATCAACCTACACAATGATGTTATTAATTAAAAGTGGGCACATCTTCAACATTAATATGAAAAAAATAACCATAAATTACAACAACACCAAGATTTAGATAAATATTGTTTTATATATTAGATAAATATTATTTTACAAAATAACACACTTAACTATATATCTACGTGTATTTATAATAAATTAATTGACGAATATTTGTTCAAATTTAACAAGTCAAATTTTAGAATTATTCTTTGCAATATTCTGTTTGTACTTTTATTTTGTAGCACTGTTCTTTTTTGACAGCTTGTGTTGCCGCCGTGTAAACTAGTTGAATCAATTTTCAAGAATATTCGTCGACTTATGCATAATTTTTTTAATTATGCATGTTCAAAATCAAATAAGAAGTATTGAAAACTACAATATATATACACATTTATCATAAAATAAATAGTGAATTAAGAAGCCGAAATATACAATACAACAAAAGTATATATATAAAAAAATATACATTATGTACATATTAAAACTATTTTGGAATTAAAATGTTTATACTTTTATATATTGAAAATATATTTAATTCAAAACATGGAATCAAGCATTAATGAAAATATTAATTATTACATAAAACTAATTAGATAATCATTTCCAAAAAATGCTAATAAATTTATCGTTGTCATACACTTATTTCTTTGTTTACAAATTCTATACGATTTTGTCAGTGTTGCATTTTAGATATTTAGACATATGTTTTTTTATAGTGTTGTGCAACACTATTTTA